ATCTATAAAATAACTATATTTTTAGAGCTGGGTGTTTTCTCCCAAAATAGTAATTTTTTTTTAGAATTATTAATGAAGTAAGCTAATTTTTTTGTCAATTTTGTATTCTTATTGTAATAAGTTAAATTTAATGAATTTATTTTTCATAATTTTCCAAAAATCATATAACATATCTTCCTCTTCTTACTTTAAGGTTAACGTAGATAATAATTAATAATATTTTGTTATAATTTGTAAGAAAGAATTTACTTTACTTAATTGACCAATTAAAGAAAGTGAAAAGTTAGTTATGAAATAGGATGGACACTACTGTTGTTTTTTTTTTTTTTGTCTTTAGAAATTTTATCAATGATAATTATAGTTAATGTTTCTTGGATAAAATTTTGCATTATTAGGAATATGGAATAAAATCAGAAAGATTATGTTTATTGTACTTTGTTTGTTCTAAAAAGAATAAATGTATGGTGAATTTGGAGTAAAAAAGAACCACGGTAAATATTTTAGTCTTTTAGTTTATTCACAACTCTAGGCATGGCCACCCGGGTTCGGGTTCTAACCTGTAACCGGAATAGAACCGAACATTAACTGGTAGACGAAACTCCGGAAACCGGAACCGATGAACCGGCCGGTTTACATAATTTTGGAACCGGGCACCGGCGGGTTCAATGGGAGGCCGGTCTCAATGGTGTCATGTAGGATGTTATATAATGGACACGGAACCCGGCGTTCCGGGTCCGGGTTCGAACCGATACCCAAACATTGTAGCTTATAAATTTTTATAAAAAAATGTTATATCAATTGCTTTGATTTGTAGTTGAGTGATTTATTGGTGGAAAGAGAGAGTAAATATGGTACTAAGTGTATAAAAAGTGTGATAAAAACATACAGACCATTTTTTTGAACTGATAAATTTAATATAAAATGGTACATAATAGTGTGATTTATTGATAAACAGATACTTTTCAAGTGTGAAAAAAAAGAGTGTAACGGAATAGGTCTTTGAATATGATAGGTGTTTTTATGTAATTGTAAAAGTAATTTATTCATTTATTCCATTTTTAATCATTGTATTTATTTATTTACTATAGAGTTTACCTAAATTATAGTAGAGGGTACGCATTGTAATAACTAATAAATGAGACACGTGGTAATAAATAAGTGATGAGATTTGATGATTTTTTATTTCACACGAGCATATTAATATCCTATGATCTCGTTGCTCTTAGTTCTCAAAGGTCAAAAAATTCTCTCAAAAATTTCCTGATAGTTCAAATTTATTTTTCTATTGCTTTATTTATTCTTTAATTTATTCGGAATTTAGCTGGATTGTTTTAGTTTTTTATTTTCTTAAACAGGAATCCAATGTTCAAATTCGTTTCTCCTGAATTTCAAGATTTTTTCCCATTTGCAATAAATTTCTACTTCATAGTTGATTTTTTTAAATATATTTCTTATTATTGATTGAAATAATTAATTTCCAACACACCACAAAAACACCAAAACACCGAAACACAGAGATTGAGCCTGCGGGGGGTTCATCTATTTTTATTTCCATTTATAGTTGAGGTAGTCACTAGATGTAGAATGGATTAACAGTCAATTGAACCGCTTTGAGGTAATTAGCGAGAAGATTTGGTGTAAATTTAATGGGTAATATAAGGTTCTAGTAAGTTAGTGTATATGAGTGGTTTTTCGTCTATGTTTGATACACAGTAGATAGTGTATCTATATTGATACTAGCGAGCATTTACGTGGAATGACCTCAGGTGAAAGGGATGGAGTCGTGGGTACCTATGGAAGCTATGCGTGTGCGGTGGGCGTGGTTGTTGATGTGTACGTGTGCTGGTTAATTAAAGTTATTAAAAGAGCTTGTCTTAGAGAACTTATTGATCAGTTATGATTCTCAGTTGAGGAGAGATGTGGTCGAATTCGGAATCAAAATTTTTAGATTATTTTTTTTAAAAAATTTCCGGTAATGCCGACCGGGGAATCGAAACCTGGTAATTTTGAATGGGTCGGGTTCGCCGGAACCCGGGTGCCTGAAGCCGTGCCGGAACCGGACCCGAAAGGTTCAAGGGTCGGTTCCGGTTCAAAATTTTAAAAGCCATTCGTCAAACCGGTCAAAGTTCACTGAAGCCGAACCGGCTCGGTTCACTGAACCGGCCGATGCCTAAATACAATCCCCTCCTTAATCGCTTCATGTAACTGGGTCCACGTCAGCGTAGTGGAGGATGTGTTTAGTCGTTTAGTTTCAATTTAACGGAAAAACAACTGTTTCGACGGTCGAAGGACCTTCAATTAGAACGAGTTAAAACTTAGCGGACTTCAGTTAGATATTTGCACAAAACTTGGGATTAGTTATGATAATTATTAAATACCTGAGGAACTCTAGATAATTCATTTCCGTTATGGTCCACGTACCAGTCTGGGTAGGGGTAATTTAGTCTTTTACTGCTATAGTATTATACGGAAAATCAAACCATTTTTCTGGTACGGGAAGAGAACTGTTTAATATAGACGAGTTTTAAACCGTGTAGATGAACTAAGCTTAGATATTTTCTCAAAAACCCTGTGATTCAGTTTGGTTTAAGTTTCATGTAAAACCTGAGGGACAGGTAAATAATAATATAACCCTTTTTGTTTATTTTTTTCAAGTCACTGTGTATGGTATAAGAGAAGTGAAGAACTCTACTTATTGAGCTGCATGTGGGCTAGTTTATTTATTATAAATGATATCGTTTATTAGTAAGAGAACACCGTGGCGATAATAAATCAACGTATGGGTAGGCATTATCCGACCAAATTTCAGGCCGAATTCATGGTGATTCATATTCCCGCGAATGTTCGAGTTCCTGGAAGAATAAACTATTCAGATAATAATTTTCCCTTATGGTCCACGTCAGCTGGGGAGGGGTATTTTAGTCTTTTACTCTATAATTAACGGAAAAAAACCAATTTTTCGGACGGAAGAACCTTTTAATTAGACGGAGTTAAACCTGAAGGACTAGCTAGATATTTTCTCAAAACCTGTGATTAGTTGGTTAATTATGTAAAACCTGAGGGACTAAATAATAATTTACCCTTTTTTTTATTTTTCAAGTCACGTGTATGTATAAGAGAAGTGAGAACTTACTATGATTATGTGGCTATTATTTAGTTATAAATAGTAGTTATATAAAGAAACCGTGATATTAAATCAACGGTATGGGTGAGCATCCAATTTAGCCAATTCATTCAATTCCGCCAATTCGATTCGGAGAATAAATATTCAGTTAAAAATAAATAAATTTTTGATGATCGGTTAAAAGTTAATTTAACCGAATTAATTAAATTAAATAACTTTATTAGATTTTAAAAGATTTTAAAATTTCAATGATATTGAATCTAGATTTTTAAAATTTTAAAATTTTGAAATTTTGTAATATTCAATTCAAACTTTTATAAAAATTATAAACTGATGATATTCAATTATGACTTTTTAAAAGTCCATACAAATTTGATGGTATTCAAAAAATTATCGATTTGGAAGATCTTATAAAATTATTGATTTCATTAGATTTTAGAATACTAGTTATGAATAGAAAGTCATTCAAAAACCTATATCCAACCCAAAGATTTAAAAAATCATTTAAAAGAAGCGGGCGAATTCTCGCGAATTTTAAACTATTTATATAGCTATCCGTTCAAAATTTTACTACTCATATCCGTTGTAAAACCCGTCCATATACCATTTAAGTACCGGTGTTCAAATATGTTTAAATTTTTACTACTCGTATCTGTCCAAAAATTATTTAAAATGCCATTTAAAGTACCTCTTAAACGAGCAAGGTACCCAAAAATCTTCAACAATGCAAATTCGAACTTATTTAAAATACACTTTTTACCATGGGTACCCACTATTAAACCTATTTAATATAGTGGTTAACGAATAGTGGGTATCCAAAGATCTATGCATGTACCCGATCTGTTACGGATATTAATTTAACTATCCATATCCGTTTCAGACTCATTTATAACTAACCATATCTTTTGTACCCGATCTGTTATAGATATTAATTTTACTATCCATATCCGTTCCAGATTTATAACTAACCATATCTTTTTTAAATGAATCGAGGCGAAACGGTACCCTAAAATACCCATACCACTTCCACCACTACCCCTTAAAATGTAGAACAATGTATTAATTATTGGACTAGCTTTGAATTAATGCATGTGCTGAGAATTTAATACTTCCAATTTTTCAATTGGGTTCCAAAACCTTTTAATTGTTCAATTAGGTCCTGAAATTAATTTTGATTGGAATATAAAAATTATTATAATTTCATCAAAATCAATCAAAATCTATAAAAAAAATCCTGACAATTCCATAAAACTCTACGTAGAATTATAGTGAAATATGTGAAAATCTAAAAAAATCCTTCGATTTCATCATATTCATCAATTCTTTTAAAATCTAACACAATCCTAATTCAATATACTCCCTTAGCTTTTCTATTTTCATTTTTTAAGAAAAAACAAAAATACGAGTTTCATAAATTTAACGCAACAAACAAAAATTTACCATTTCTAAATAATTCTAAATTCCAAATTAATTTATATTTTACTAAAAATGCATCAACACTTTGAAGAAATTCAAGTGAATCTCGTTTGAGCTTAGAGTCAAATCTATCAGATATATTATTTACTCATAATATATTGGTTAAACACTCAAGTAATTACATTGTTGTTTACATGGCTGCAACAATGCCCTATGTTAACCCTTAAGCAAACCGCGAAAATACCATTTTGACTAGTTTGTATGTAACTTAGGACCTTTTTTTTTTTTTTGAGAATTCTTGGAAGAGGACTTGAACCTGAGTTTATTGACAGATTATACATGCACTTATCACTAGGCTATGCCTTGATGTGCAAGTTAAGACCATTTGTTAAGTCGTTATCAATTGTAATATAATATAAGCAAATGCATTTCTAATACCTTATACAATTTGCTATATATGTTGCATCTATAAGAGATCTGCCATATGCCATACAACTTAATAGAAAAACATACTTTGTAACTTAAGTTTATGTAATGTATGGAATGAGATCACTTTAGCCATTATCAAATGTTTAATGTTTGTTCAGTCCATCAAGCTTCCACACAAAATTTACAAAATGCTATTAAAATGCATGTAAAGATAAGAAAAATTGTTACTGAAGGGCTCCTTACCAACAACTCACTTGGCAAATCGCATCGTCCACTCAGCAGCTAGTTCATCATGTTTTGCTTTGTCTGCCAAATATAAATGGGCAATGCCAGGGAGAAGAGGATTGTCTGCAAGATATCCAGACATTAAGTAAATCAATTACTCAGCAAAAATACAAAAATTAATATGAATATGGATTTTGGATTCAATATAAAAGAAATAAACAGGATTAATGCAATTTATATCTCATCAATTCAAAATGGCCACTAACGTGTGTTCCTCCGGTGAAATTAACCAAAGTAATCAGAATTATTGAAGAGTCAAAATAGCAAAAAAGGTATTATTCGATTGTGTTTATTTGCACCAAAAAATAAAACCTTTCAACTGAACTGAAAAAAGAAAAATAACAGAAACTTGAACAGGAATAATTGCAAGATTATTCAAGATAGTAGCCAACTACAGGCTCATCAAAACAGAGCAAATAAACACACATGATTCAATATGACCTCGGGAGAACCATGCCTCAAAATGACTTTGATGAATCATTGAGGTGAGAGCTTAAGTTCATATAAACCTCGAATCAAAATTCCACACATCCATTGTGGGATCCAGTACCTTGTCTTGTAACTCAAATTACCTTGGGAGAAGCATGGTGGGAAGTTGATTTCAATGTGGAGTTTATATGAACTTCGGATCTCCAACCTCAATCACTAGCTTTTGAGGCTTCATTCTCCTATGGTCATATCATTGAACAACATTTTAAAAGATAAAAAATAACAAAATATTAAATTTCCATGTGTTTCAAAGATAGCAAGAATTACAAGGGTCAGGGTGAATGAAAATTGATCTTATTGCAAGTAGCACTTCAGAAATTGTAAGAGCTGGACTCCAACCATCTTTCAAGATATGCACACTAACGTTGCCAGCAGAATCGACATTACAATGGTAGATACGAGTTTTAAATACTACCTGCAAGGCAATCTTACAATCAAAAGAATGGAAATGCAAATCACCAAAGACTAATTAATCCTTCCATTACCACTAAATGTGCATAGTATAGGTATTTCTTGACATTGTAGAATCAAATAATAATGGACTTCGTGGTCGTAATATGTGTTTTGAGTAGAACTTGTAAATCTCCTAAAATCAAATCTGTGAACTATAACAACCTAAAGTTTCCACCAAAGGATATATTTGGCAGGAAGGAAGGAAAGTGGGATTGAAATGAATTTAGCCAATAATATTATAGGTTAAATACATTGGAGGGAGGAAATTTAATACTAACTAGTAGAAAGTCAAAATACATTTCCTTGCTCCCAAACAAATATGGCATTTATGCCAATGGGATAATCTTATCAATGTATCTTGAAAAACCTTGTTATAGTTGATGTTCTAGCATTCAACTAGAACATCAACTATAATGGTGTTCTAGCATTCAACTACAATGTTGTTTGTACATACTGAAACAAAATCTTTGGTCTTCCCAAAAAAAAAAAAAGGAGAGAACACATCAAGACTCGATATTTTTTTTTTTCACATTAGAGAAGCTGCTAGAAACAGAACAAACTAACAATGCTCAGGCTGAAGTACAGTTGTTTTTACATTATATGCCACCTATAACATCAGTACAGTTAGAAACATTACGCTTATGCTATTGACCTACAACGTTATATGCAAATTGAAGTTGACTCCTGTTTCATTCTACCTGATTGCCCAACTATATAATTAAGATTCCACTAATAAAATATATCTTAAGGATATGTTTGGATGGAAGGAAAATATTGGAAAAAAGAAAACAATTAAGGAAAATAAAGGGGAAAGTCATTTTGCCTTATTAATAAAGAGATAAATAATTAAGGAACAAAAATATATGCTAAATTTCTCCAGGGTCCACAATATACAATCTCTCCATATTGGAGAGAAAATGAAGCAGGTTGGAAGGAAAATGACATTATTCATACATACAATAACAACTAAGCCTCAACACCTTTCCACATTATATGCCTCGAAATATATAAGAATAACGTTGAATTGTAAATTAATAACTTCCAAAACAAGGAAAACTATAGATATATTCCTGCCATCCAAACAAGAGAGAAGAAAATAACAAAGGAGAGAGAACTGAATTTTGTGTACTACTTTCACTCTTTATTTTCTTTCCTCTCTAATCCAAAAATAGTGTAAAAGTTTGAAACTGCAATAGCAGCCACCAAATGAACATGGAATCTTATGCTAATAAGGAAAACTTTGTGCATATATATATAAATCACATTTTTTTGATAAATTGGATGCGTTGAATCTACCTTTGGAGGTTTGAATGGATAATCACTTGGAAATGTTATGTCAAGGAAAAATATACCACCTTGGTACGGTGTACCTACAAAAATGAATATTCAGAATTTTGTCAAAACTAGATTTCAATGGATTAGCCAACTAATGGAAACGCACATAAATATCTACAATATGCACAGAAGTGTCGCTAACTTATTCATTTTTTAGGCAAGTTAGCAATGCCTGCCTCCACTGTGAGACAGAAAACATTATCTCCTCTTTTACACTTAAAATTAATTGAGGACAACTGTCATTTCAAAAATTATTTCCTCCTCGCTTCTCCCAGTCCACCTTTAATCTCTCTCTCTCTCTCTACAAAGACTTGGGTTGTTCAACAACATATCAAAACAGAGGAAATCCAATCAGAATCAGCTGTAATTCCAAACATTGACTCAACTTGAAACTCTCAAGGCCAAGCAACGATAGGTGAGTTTCTACAATAAATTATTTATTAATGGTTGATTTAATTCAAATGGAAGTTACAATTATGCTATAACAAAACAGCTGAAAAGATGAGCCTATACTACAACCAATCTCGATCCTGTTCATCCTAGCTACCTACGAGTTGACAAATGCATCTATCACTGTCTGCCTCCATATTGAGAGTTCATAACTTCCTATTTTTATCATCACAATAAAAATGAAAGTAATAAAACTTATCTTATAAAATCTTATAAGATACAAATACAAGAATAAATACAACTACAAAAACACCAAAGACATAAAATGAAAGCTTTATCTTTTATATCTTTTATTTGAAATCAGAAACCTTCCAGAAGACCAGCTTCATGGAAGATTATTTTTATTTTATTTTTTAAGTCCATTTTTTTACTTTCGATGGTCAAAAAATAAAAGAGATAAAGATAAAAGGCCCTTCCAATTTTTTTTAAAAAGTCCTTTTTGGTTTTGTAGTTGTATTTTATTCGCTGTGATTTGTTATCTTAAAATATTTACAAGATAAGAAAAATGGAATCAAATTGCTAGGAATATTCAGCTAGAAAGAAACTTGTAATTATATTAAAAACACTAATTGAAAAAAAAAAAAAAAAAAAAAAATTCAGAGTTTGTTATTAAATATTGTTAGAAGATGCATTAAAGTAAAAATTTAAAATTTTAGTTCCTCATGACTTTGCAAATTTGTTTTTTGGTGCCAAAGAATACAATTAGCTAACAGATAAACAAACCCATGTGAAACAAGCAAATTCAGAGCTCTATACAGATATTTCACTATTCAGTCAGTCAACAGTAAGTAAGTTGTCAGAGATGCCGTTTAAAAATAGCTATGTAAGATAAGTTGGTCTAAGTTAAGCTTACCAAAACAAGCAGTAAATACACCCCAGTACACAAGGTTAAAGTTGCAAAGTTGGATGATGAATTCATAATCAACAACAAATAGCTAAATAAACAAAATAATGTCTATATTAGCAAGCACAACAAAACACAGCATTAAAAATTTAAAAAAGAAGAACACTGTTGATTGAAAATAAAAGATCAATCCTAAAAAATAAGAAATTGAACAAGAACTCAATAGCTAAAAAATGTTGATAGTAGTTAGTAAGATAGTAGTGGCAGAACCTGGGGGCCCAACAATGGTGGAGACCCAGTGGTAGAGATTGTCACCCATGGGACCAGCAGAGCAATCGGGAGGTAGATCATTGCTAAGCTCAGCCATTTCCCTTTGTATCCTCTTCCCAGATGTTGAGACTGATGATGGTGACACCCATGAACTTGTTGCTGCTGCTGATCCTCCTGCTCCTCCCCCTGGTATTGAAATGCCTGCACTATTGTTCATCTCCACCCGTCAGCAGCACAACCACCTCCACCTCTATCCACAGTAATTTGTAAATGAGCAAGAGTCAAAAACCCAAAAATTAAAATCCGTATATATATAAACCCCACTACATTGAAATGGATGGAAATAATAATTGTTTATAAATATGACTGGCTCAGAATGCGTTCATTACCATGCAAATTCTTTTTTCCTCTTTCTGGCTTTTGATAAAACTGAAAATCAATTACTGAAAATTTAAGAACTGAATTTTAAGTTATGAATATCTAAATTGTATGATTGTTTAGAAGTCCAATTACATCGTATATTCATCATAAATTTTAAGTTAAAAATTTTGATTTTAAGTGAGTTTCAGCTCAATTGAAACTTTAAAGTATTATCAAACAACTTAAAAGTAACAAGTGAAATTTTTTTAATTGTAAGTGATAAATAGCGTTTCCAATTCACAAGATTTCTGTCTGGTTCTCTTTTAAGCAATTTCACAAGCACCTAACGCGCATAATAGTTCCTACAAATCAGCAATCTCTTCCAGAGAAATGGATTGAATTTTATGACTAATCATAATCTGAAGAAAATGACCGAGTATTTTCTTTTTGCAAAAAAGTGCAAATAAAAGAGAATAAATAGTAATTGATAAAGAAAGAATTGGGTTTCCCCATTTGGTTACCTTGATTCTTGCTTTAAGCCACTTGATAATCAAGAAAGAGAAGAGAAACTGAAGGAGCGGCTTTTCCAATCATGTGGTCATGTACTGTTATTGCTTGGTAAGCGGTAAATGTCCATTGACAAGCAATGAGCAGAGTTATATTACCGGCTCTGTTGTTGATTTTTGTTTGTTTGTATAGGCAGCTAAGGAAGTCAAAACATTAGTACCATCTGTTACAGTTGAGAGAGAGAAGAGACTTTTACATTACGAGAAGGAAGAAGATAATTGTCAAAGAGAGCTCAGAGAGATGTGCCTACAAAAGCTTTTCAAGCCGTTCGATCCCCAATTACCATCTGTGGAGGTAATTTTTCATTTTTTTTTTTAAAAAAATTAAAGCTTTTGATAAAGGCAAAATTATAATCGTATCTCTATATTTTATCGAAATTTGTTAATAGGAAAATATAACAGTAGAAAGAGAAGGCAAAAAAGAGAATTGTATTGCATGTGATGCATTTTCAACAAAGCATAAAGAGCTCTATAACCTTTTATAGAGCTGTACATCGATTGAATCAGCTAAAAATAGGCTAACAAAATGCCATGTTAATAGAACCACCAAAAATCTGTAAATTCTCCTAAATACTAGGAAACAAACTGACTCCACTAAACCATTAGTATTATTGACCCGATCAAACATAACTTGTACAAAATAAGCATCTAACAATCCCTCCCTTAAACTGAATGCTTTTCAGTTTGATTGAGTTATTTAAAAACACAAACTCCAAGCAACTTCATAAGCTTCTAGAAAACAGATAATTTTAAAGGCTTTGTCATTATATCAGCAATTTGATCTTCACTTCTACAGTAGAGAACTTCAATGACTTCATCCTTTGTGAGATCCCTTAGAAAATGAAACCTGACATCCATGTGTTTACTCCTTCCATGAAACACAGAATTATTAGAGAGTTTGACTGTTGAAGTATTGTCACAATAAATTGCAGTTCCTCCTTCTTGCTTGAACTGAAGTTCTTCAAGTATCCTTCTGAGCCAAATTGCTTGACAGGCACAAGCTGTAGCAGCTATAAGTTCTGCCTCAGTCGTTGATAACGTAATAATGTTTTACTTTTTAGAAGACTAAGCAATAGCTCCTGAACCCAACATGAACACATAGCCTGAAGTACTTTTTCTATCATCTTTGTCCCTGGCATAATCACTATCTGTAAAACCACAAAAATCTGATTCGTCGCTGCTTTTGTAAGACACCCCATAATCAATTGTTCCCTGCACGTAACGAAGAATTCTTTTGGCAGCTGAAAGATGAATCTCCTTTGGGCTCTCCATGTATCTACTCACAAGACTGACAGCATGCATTATGTCAGGTCTAGTAGTAGGCAAATACATCAGACTTCCTACAATTTGCTTGTACAATCTGCTGTCTATTTTCTTTCCTTCTTCTGGATTTCTCACTAGTTGCAGACCCACTTCAGTTGGTGTTTCAGCAAGATTACAATTCTTCATTCCAAACCTGTCAAGAATGTCTCGAGCATACTTTCTTTGAGTAATAAAAATACCAGCAGTAGATTGCACTACCTCAATGCCAAGAAAATAGTGCATCATTCCAAGATCAGACATATCAAATTCAAGCATCATGGACTGCTTAAATTTTTCGAACATAGTAGCATCATTTCCAATATAAATCAAGTCATCTACGTATAAACACACAACAATCATCTTTCCTCCTTCAACTTTAACAAAGAGAGTATGCTCATATGGACATTTTGAAAAACCTTCCTTCAAAAAATAAGCTTCAATATGACTATACCAAGCTCGTGGAGCTTGTTTAAGTCCATATAAAGCCTTTTTCAGTTTGTATACTTTGAATTCTTCTCCAACTTTAACAGAACTAGGAGGTTGTTTGACAAATACATGTTCTTTCAAGTCTCCATGCAAGAAAGCTGACTTGACGTCCAACTGAAAAATGGGCTACAAATTTTGTGCTGCCAATGCAATCACTAATCTGATTGTATCATGTCTTGCTACTGGAGCGAACATTTCTTCATAATCTACACCGAATTCTTACTTGTAACCTTTTGCGACCAAGCGAGCTTTATATTTGTCCACCTCACCATTTTCTTTCAATTGGGTCTTGAAAACCCACTTCACATCAATTGTTTTCTGTCCTTTTGGAAGTTCACTCAACTCTAAGGTATTGTTTCTTTCTATTGTTGCAAGCTCTTCATCCATGGCTTTCCTCCATTTTGATTGTTTTACTGCTTCTTCAAAGGTTACAGGATCATAATCTACAAAAAGAGCAAAATGGACAAGTGGATCCTCAGATTTATCAATTCCTATTACCTCATAATCACTCATCCATGCTGGCCTCTTTCTACTTCTTGTTTGTCTTGCAACTGCAAGTGAGTCTTGAGCCGCCACTTGTTCATCTTGGGTAGTGATTGGTTGCTGCAACATATTTGAACTATGTTGATTTTCTGCTTCATCTTGCCCATCAAAGTCTACTGGAATTTGTTGGGCAGTGATTGGTTCCTGCAACATATCTGAACTATGTTGATTTTCTACTTCATCTTGACCATCAAAGTCTGCTGGAATTTGTTGTTGAGAACTAGCTTTACTCCATGTCCAGAAATTTTCTTTATCAAATATTACATCTCAACTTATGACAATTTTCTTGGTGATAGGATTATATAGTTTGTAAGCTTTGGAGCAATCATTAAAACCGAGAAAAATGCATTTCTCTCCTTTGTTATCAAGCTTTGTTCTTTTCTGGTCTGGAATATGGGCATAACAAATACACCCAAAAATTCTAAAATGATCAACATTCGGTTTTTGACCACTCCATGCTTCCTCTGGTGTCATATTTTTTACAGCAAGTGTAGGACTTCTATTTAAAATATGAATACTCCAGTTAACTGCTTAGGCCATAAGGTTTTTGGAACACTACTTTTTGTCAAAAGACTCTGTACCATATTCAAAATAGTGCGATTTTTGCGCTCACAAACACCTTTTTGCTGGGGCGTATAGGCTGCTGTTAGTTGCCTTTTGATGCCATTGCTTTCACAAAAATTTGCAAATTCTTATATTCCCCACCACAATCTATGCGAAGTACTTTGATTTGGCTGTCTATTTCTTTCTTAACTAGAATTTTAAATCTTTTGAAAGCTTCAAAAGCTTCAGATTTGCCTACAAAAAATACACCCATGTTTTCCAGCTAAAATCATCAATGAAGGTAATTATGTATCTTTTACCTCCATTTGAAGATGGATTTATAGGGCCGCAAAGATCAGAATGTACCAACTCCAATACAGTTTTTGCTCTCCATGACTTTCCCTGAGGAAATTGATTGCCTTGTTGTTTGCTAACATCACATTCTTTATAAACTTGAGAAGGAGTTGCAATTTAAGGGAGACCAATGACCATATTCTTTTGTTGCAAAGTATTTAGTCCACCAAAACTCAAGTGGCCATAACAAAAATGCCATAACCATGTTCTATCTTTCATACTGATAGAGAAGCAGGTAGGATTGAAATTGTGAAGCTACAGTGGAAACATGCAATTTGCAGTCATGCTAACTTAAGCAAAACACATTAGAAATTGTGTGAAAAGAGTTATCTTTGGTTTGCAAAGTGATCTGTCCTTTTCCCATGACAGATACAGTGGAGTTATCACCAAACTTGATAGTGTTACGAAAGTTTTCATCCAATTCAGAAAATGCCTTCTTGTCTCCACACATGTGGTTGCTACAGCCAGTGTCCAAATACCATAAGTTTTGTTGAGTTTCTTCATTTGCATAACACACCATCAAAAGCGGAACTTCTTCTTCCTTTTCTACAAAATTAGATAATTATGCACCTTGTTTATTAAAATTTGTTTGGCATTATGATTGGTAATGACCATACCTATGGCAACAGTAACACTCAACATGTGATTTGTCTGCTGATTTTGGTCTCTGAGTTGTTAAGTCATGTCCTCCGCGTCCTCTTCCTCTTCCTTGAGATTGATTTTCATGATGCTGATGGATATTGTTGATTACCTCGACTATAACTTCCTCTGCCTCTATTCCAACCTCGGCCTCTTCCTCGACCTACACTTGTTTTAAATTTATTTTCTGTCGTTGCTTTTAGTGCTTGCTCCCTGGATAATTTTCTGCTCATGAACTAGCAAAGAGCTGTGCAACTCATCAATGGAGAGTTCATCAATATCCTTAGATTCTTCCATAGAGCACACAACAAAATTGAATTTTGGTGTCATTGATCGAAGAATCCTCTCAACAATGGTGACATCCTCCATTTTCTCTCCATGGATCCTCATCTTATTTGTAATTGCCATAGTTCTTGAAAAGAAATCTGCTACTGACTCACTTGACTTCATATGCAAAGTCTCAAATTCAATTCGCAAACCTTGAAGTTGTACCCTTTTTGCCTTCACATTCCCTTGATACTTCTTCTTCATGGAGTCCCAAATTTTCTTGGAGGTTTCTTTGCAAAGAATAGTCTCCAAAATTGAACGATCAATTGCTTGAAAAAGGTAATTCTTAGCCTTAAGATCTTTCAACTTTAAGGCTTCAAAATCTGTATTCTGTGTTTCTGTAGTTCTTGCTGCTGGTTCTGCTACTCCAGATTCAACAACATTCCAATACTCCTTGGACCTCAAGAAGTTCTCCATGAGCATGCTCCAATGATCGTAGTGACCATCAAAGCGCGGAATCGCTGGTTGTACATAGTTGTCTGGGGAAGCCATTGTTCGTTAGCTGCTGCTTTTATATGTAACCAGGCTCTGATACCACTGTTAATAGGAAAATATAAAAGTAGAAAGTGAAGGCAAGAAAGAGAATTGTATTGAAAGTCGAAGGCAAGAAACAGAGAATTGTATGGGCATGTGATGCATTTTCAACAAAGCATAAAGAGCTCTTTTCATAGAGCATAACATCAAGCTGAATTAAGCTAAAAATAGGCTAACAAAATGCCATGTTATATAGCCACCAAAAATCTGTAAGCTAAAAATAGGCTAACAAAATGCCATGTTAATAGAACCACCAAAAATCTGTAAATTCTCCTAAAGACTAAGAAACAAATTGACTCCACTAAACCACTGTTATTAATGACTCGATCAAACATAACTTGTACAAAATAAGCATCTAACAAAATTAACTACTTTATACTTGTATTTTTTAAAATACATTACTATACTCTCATATTTTAGGTCCTTTACACCCAATGCCTCTTTCATTCATTTTTTTCACTTCCAAAGAACAAGTCAAAGAAAATATAACGGTCTAAAGAGAGAGAAACTTTTTTTTTTACCAAAATGCCTTCTTCTTCTTTCTCTCTCTCTTCCAGCAAATATTTTCAAAACTTATCTCCATAGATTCTGGCTTCTCGATAATATTTTCTCTCCCTCCATAATCACTACCACTTATATTTGAGA